CCAGATCCTCTTTTGTTGCCAGTTCAGAGAGTCCAGGTGGATGAGTATCAGATTGTTCCATCTTGTTTCCCTTTGGGGTTGCTGCAGGTGATCTGGAAGTCTGTTTTTGAGGCTTGTTTACATGTCTTCTCATTTCCACGGGGTGGGGTGGGGGTGTGTGCTTCTGGTGCCCGCACGGCTCACCTTCTCTGCCCTAGGAGCTTGGGATGGCGGCAGGGTAGATTCCTTCCAGGTGCTGGGACCCGCTCACCTTCTCTACCCTAGGAGCTTGGGATGGCGGTGGGGGAGCTTCCTTCCAGGTGCTGGGACCGGCTCAGCTTCTCTGCCCTAGGAGCTTGGGGTGGAGGCGGGGGAGCCTTGTAGTTGTTATTGTTGCATATTTTTGTTGTTGTTGTTGTTTAGAAAATGTTTTGCTTATTTGTCTGTAGCTCACCTTCCAATCCCAGGATGGTTTTAATCTAGAAGCTTACAAGGGGAACAGTAACCATTTTTACATTCCCTTTATAATGTCAGACAAGAAGCAGTGATAATACACAAAAAGCACCAAAAATATCTACAGTGAAATGTGGCACAAAGTTATTCTTTGTTGCCCACCTGATTAGTGATGCCAGCAGGAAGAAGCTATTGTTACAGTTTACATTTACATATTCTTTTTCTTCTCGCCTTTTTTTGCTGGCTGGGCTTCTTGAGCAAAATCCTACATGAGAAATCTCAGTCCTGTGGCAAGTGAATAATCTCTCAAGCCTGCAAGGCTGGCTGGTGTAAGGCAGAGCACACTCAAGAGCAGAAGCCAGGGCTAACATGCTCGATGGAGAGACAGAGACAAACTGCGCCTCCGTTTCTCAAATGGTCTCTCAGAAGCGGAGCCACTCAGTGAACATTTGGTCCAGTGAAGATGGATGGTGCTGTCCATCACAATGTGGTTAGCAGCCTTAATAAGAAAGTACAAGCTCTTCTTGGAAAGAAGCGAGGCAGATGTCCTTGGACAGGCAAATGATGAAACTTATGTCCCTGCTTAAGGGATGCAGAATAACCTGACTGGTTCTCGGGAAAGTGATGATCTCACCTGCTGCCTCTGGTACTCGGTGTCCCACCTGGGGATACTGTCCTCTGTACCCCCAAGCTCCTAACCACATTTATTCTTGGATGTGGGAGGGGCCTTCCCACTTCTCCTGCGCTTGATTACACAGCTTCCGAGCCCCAGTTTAATAGCGCTGCCCTCATTACACAAGTGTTTGCCAGCCTCTAAAGTATGTTATTAGACCCTGGCATACACACTGCCCAGTGCTTTAAAAACCCACTAGATGTTGACCCAGCGTAAGACAGCATTTCTTGCATCATAACCCAGCCCACAAGTCGCACTGGAATCCTTCTCATCTTACTACCTAGGAGGTACTTTAGTATGCCTGTCTTGTCTCATTCACCAACAAATCAGCTGGTGGGACACACAAACCTGACCTCCCACCTGTGATGGAGTCACAGTCTGCATGGGGATGTGACACAGGCCGTGTAAGTGACTGGCCTCAGAATGGGACCCCCATTTGTGTGGACGAATCCCAGGCACAAAGGAAGGCCAATGGCTTCTGGGTCTGGGTACCGACTACTGTGTCAGCACAGGGCTAGGCCAGGAAGCCCACTGTGGCCATTTATAACCTGCTCAGCACATTTCTTCCTTTCCTCATAGGACTAATTTACATCCTGTGTCCTTCCAAAAAGCAGACAACAATGCTAAGAGCCAGCGCTGAAATGGAGCTCTTGACAGTAGCATTTCATCAATTTCTAAAGTGTAAATGTGGGAGGGGCTACATCTCAAACACATATTTAACTGGGGGTAGAAGGGGAGAATTCAATGACTTTACCAGGAAGGCCCATTAGGTATAAGTATGCAATTGGCTTCCTTGACTTCTGATTGGATCTGCATGATTTATTTACCATCTGGTCCAGAGTATAGCATGGCAGAGGAGGGGCTGGTGTTCCAGATCGTCATGCATGCATGCAAACACACACATGCGTGGGCTGTCATGGGTAAATGAGCCCCTTGGGGACTCTGGGTTTTGGCTTCCATTCTGTCTGAAGCAACTCACCTGCAGAACGATGGGCAGCTGCTCAGGGGGGCTCCTGTTTTCCACGCCCATTGTGAGCCATACCTGGAATGCAGTCAGCTGCTCTGCAAAGAATGGGCTGTGCTGTGGGAGAAGCAGAGGAGCTGGTCAGGTCTATGAAGCACCCACATGTGCTGGCTCCAGGACAAGGCAGAGCTGCAGGGTTTGTGAGCAGCCTGGATGTGGGCAGGACAGGGAGTTGAGGATGACTCAGAGGCTTTGGCCTGAGCACCTGACAGATGTGGTCAACATCAGTGAGAGGAGAGGAGCAGCTGGGAGAAGGCATTGGACCTCAGCCTGGGGCACCCACTTTGTGCTTGTGGTGTCCATCAGGCATTCACATGAAGACACACAGGCATCTGGCCACATGGATGAACATTTGAGAGAGGTCTGGCCAGGTGTAACCTCAAGAGCCATTGGCACACAGCTTTGTTTTTTTTTGGTACCGGGGATCGAACTCAGGATCTTGTGCTTGCAAGGCCCCTCCCATATCTTCCCACCTCCTAGGCGGGGGCACCACTGAGCTAAATCCCTGGCCCCACACAGCCTTTTTGAGAAAGAGAAGGAACCCAGGAGTGACTGGGGTCAAGGAGCTGAAGTGGAACCTGCCAAATGACCATGAAAGCCACAGCCTGGAGGGAGAGTAGGAAGGTGTGGTGCTCTGGAAGGCAGGGAGGGTGACATATCCAGCAGCATCGAATACTGGGGTTTGGTTACACAAGATCTAGATTAAGAACTGACTATTGATTGTTTTGGCAACAGTGGTCATCATGATCATTAAGAACACCCTGAAGGCCCGGGATTTAGCTCAGTGGTTCTGGCATCTGCCTTGCAAGCGCAAGGTCCTGAGTTTGATCTCCAGTACCAAAAAAAAAAAAAGAACAGCTTGGGGTTGGGTATCTGTGGGACTGGATTGGACCAGAATAGAGGAAAAGGGAATGTGGAGACTCAAGTATAGACAGTTCTCTGAAGTATAGACTCAAAGAGCAGGGTGGTGGCCACAGGGTAAAGTGGGTCATGAATGTAGTTTACAGATGGGAGAATAAGGGGATTCATGTGAGTTGATGAGGAAGATCCAGATGAGAACAGAGGAGGCAGGCTGGGGCCTGGCAGGCATAGCTGGAGGGTAGGCTGCCAGGGTAGGAAGGAAGATGGAGCATGCAGGCTTCATGTAGGCAGTGAGTGGCTGATGGCAGGCACCCCAGGGCTTCTCTTTCTATGCTTCTGTTCCTCAGGGAAAGCAGGAATGCAAAGCCCTTGGGAAGGAGGGTAGGAGCAGAAGAGACAGAAGAGGGAGGGAGGAGGGGCTGGAAAGTATCTTTGCTTAGACTGTCTGGCAGCTTCTCTGTCCTGCTTGACAGGGTGATCACAAAGAAGGTCACAATTGGCTATGCTGCACGAGTCTGGGCTCTCCAGTGACCTGAGCCGAGTGAGCACAGACAGAGCAGATGGGAGGCAAAGGGAGTGAGGAGGTATGAGTGCCTGGCTGTGGGAGTGGGCTGGCGAGCAGAATGGGCATGAGGCCAGTCCTGGAGGCCACACTGGAGAGGCCACAGTGGGTCTGGATACCACCACACTGCTTGTGCACTGCTGCTGGATTTGGGTATGGTTACACAAGTGTGTTCAATTCACCAAGCTGTATGTTTAAAGTACATATAATCTGTACGTATGTTATACCTCCAAATCTGTACGGATGTTATACCTCCAAAAAAGTGAAAATAAAATGAAAAAGTTAGTCCACGATCTACATCAGTTGCCCCTTCCCTTCCCTGACATCCCAGTTTGGCATAGTCATTCCCAGATGCAGAATACTGATTCTAGCAGATTAGAAATGATGTAGTAAGATCCTTGAAAAGATCCTTGGCAAAGATACCTGGCATTGAAATGGAAGTGTTCCATCTAGAGGGAACACACATACAAACAGAAAACTGTCTTATATAAAGAGGAGCAGGATTCTGATCTCCTAAAAGCACAGACTGAAACCATGCTCGGAGTACAGAAACCCAATTACAGGGTTTTCCAGACATCTGTTTGCAGCAACAGGCCCTGTCCTTCGTGGGAGAGCTCAGGCCTTCGGGGGCTGCTCTGGTGGATGTGGAGGCCAAGGACACAGCTAGGTGCAGGTGGCATCCTGCACGGGCCAGGCACTGTTCTCTACAGGGGTTTGTGGTTATGAAGGAGACCGTGTCCCTGCCCCCAAGACTTTACAGAAGGAAGTGGGCAGCCCTTTGGTCTAGAAGTCCAATAGTGGATGCCAGAAATACTGGCAGGAGCCAAGGGGAAACCTCATGAACTCCCCTTTAGAGTTCAGAAACTCCGGGTAGTCTGCAATGGATGTAAAATGCATTACAAAGATATGGGCAGATGGACATGTGACAGCAGTGTATAAATGCCAATGGCAGAACTAAGTGGTGGGTGTGTGGGCGCTTATTGTAGAGTCCTTCCAACTTCACTTTCAGCTTGAAAATTTTCATGTTATTCAAAAATCAAGCAATAAAAAGGGGTCAATATAAGTCCAAAAGGACAAGGCCCTCTGCCCAGTCATTTTGACCCTGGGACACATCAGTGCAGCCCACCACACCCCACAGCCCTGTGCTCCTGTCCCTGCTCTGGGAAGGTAAGATGCCTGGGTCATGCATGGCCATTGTGCACCTGACCCTGGCTCAAAGATGTGGTCAACTCACCCTGGGGACTGGTGTTCTGTGAATGACGATCTGGGCAGGCACATACTAGTGGCACCTGCCACACGGCAGCTCTGTCCTTGTACTTCAGGCACGTTAACCTAGGCCTCACAATGGCCCTTGTATTCACCCAGAACCCTCCGTTAAAATGAAGAAATTCAGGCCCAGGTAGCCTGCCTAACAGCGCCAGCTGCTGGCTCTGAACCCCGCTGGTCTCTCTGGTGGTGTGGAGAAGACCTGGAGGTGCTGGCCTCACTTCAGGCTGCCTTACGTTCTCAGCCTCGTGGGTGGCATGGGTGCTCTGCACAACACAGCTGCCACCCTCCATTCCTGAGTGCGGGGTGCCCTCTGGGGCCTCCCAACTCCAAAGTCATGCTCTGCCTTGGGATGGGTGACTCTTTCCACAGGCACTTGAGGGAAGATGGGGTTTTGTTCATACTCTATGTCTCATGCATAGCAATCATTCAACAATAAAAACTCAAGGGGGCTCTGGGTGCTGCTGCAAAGAGTCTAGGTTATAGTCAGATTCAGTGCTGTGAAGACTGGGGTCCTCCCCACACCACTGTCACGAGCAGGGTGGGCCAGGTCCCTGCAAAGTAACTCCACTGCCCTCACCTGCACAGTAAGGCTTGGGGTCACCATCCCTGGGCCTTGAGAGAGAGCCCGTAATTCATTCCCTGCATTGAGGCCAGAGATTTAAACAGCTCAGCAGAGGGGAGGAGGGAGTCTGCATTAAGAAAAGCAGATTTAGAAGAGCAACACTTTAACGTAATGGCTTTTAAAAGCCGGCCATTTCAAAGTCTAACTCTGACCCCTTGGCTGACCTGGTCTTGTACATTCTGGCTAGCTGCACATTTTCCAGGTGGGACACAGAATCCCTGACACCCTGGAGACCTGATTGCCATATACAAGCTGGGGTTTGCAGAGCAGGTGCCTGGGCAGCAGCACTGTAGAGACACACAGGATGCAGAAAGGGACTCACCCTAAAGGCAGTGCCCTCCTCGATGATCGTAGGCAGCTGAGAGAGACAAATGTCCACAGCGAGGTCCCAGGCCTGCCTGGGGAGGAAACAGAGGGAGCATTCTGCATTAGTGCATGGTCATTAGGGCGAGGGGTATCATGGGGAAAGAAAGAGCTGCCTGAGCCATGCAGCAAGGGTCTGGGGGAGGCCTGGAGCTCGGGTCAGTGGGCTGGAGTTGTCCTGAGTTGACCCAGGCTGCAGATGTCACCCAAGGGGACCTCAGAGCGGACACAGTGCCAGGGCCACTGGTGCTGGCAGCACACTCTAACCATTTGGTTTGTCACATTTTTTCTCTTTAAAATGAAGTGAGAAAAAGGCTTAGGAAAAACTGCAGAACTCTCGCCCCCTCTAGGGTGGTTCCTGACGCTGTCGTGACCCTCTCTAGAATCCAGCTTGTTTTTCCTCAAAGCAGCAGGGGTTCTGTGATGGCTGATGGGCAGGACAAGGTGTTTTACTGGAAGCAGGCCTGTGGGCCAGGGGAGGTGATCCAGCTTTGGACTCGAGTCCAGGTGCTGTTGACATGCATGCCCCACACCCTGTGCAGTTATGGCAGAGACTCCCTGACATCACCAGCCATCAGGCCCCAGCACCCCCTTGCCTGAGCAGCTGGGCCTGGGCCATGAAAGCCCAGGGGAATGCTGGTGGCCCTCAAGGACCAAACAGTAGGTACTGGCCTTAGGGGAAGGGGACCTCACTCTGGCTGGTGGACCTGGCCAACCTTACCAGGTTCTCATGGCACTGGGACACAGGTCACCACTCACAGTGGGCAGCATGTCCTCAATATTGCCTGTCACCATGCTTGGCAGCACCTGCTGGGAGAACACAGCCCAGGACCCCCTGCTAGGCAGACACCCACATCCTATTCTAGCTTTAAAACAGCCCTCTGGGCTCCATTCTGAAACAGTTCTGTGGCTCCGGCACACAAGCCCAATGCAGGATGATGTATGTGGCTTCGTGAACACATCCTCTTACATAACTGGGGGACAGGGACTCGGTGTCTGGGAGCAGACTGGCTGCTCTTACATAAGGCTGTCTGCCAGGCACAGCTTCTGAAAGGCCCAAGAGCAGGAGGGACAGCGGACCTCAGAGCCGTAGCCACAGGCCAGGGTTCAGAAAGGTTTCTGATTTTGACATGGGTATAAAACTTAGTTGAAATCTTATTGATTTTTTACAAATATTCAACTCTGAACTACTACTTTTAGACTTGCAGGGAAGCCACAATAGCTCAGACTTACCCTACCTGACCATGGAGCCCAATCAACACTCCCATGAAGAACAGCACCAGCTGGGGCAGGGCTCTCTGGTGGTGGCCTGGTTATTTCATGCCTGTCTTTCTGGTGATGTTCAGTGAAGGGCCCTGCCCAAGGTCACGCACCAAGGCAGGGAGGGGCCCAGTACCGAGCCCTGCACTATGCTACCACTGGGCTCTGGGTGTGGGTACCTGGTCCTCAACCCAGTTCCCCTTCTGCATTGAAAACTCACTTTTTACTCAGAGTTGGTCTACCCTGGGGGTCCAGGGGACGCCTTCCTCTCTGTGAAGAAGTAGGCACCCCTCCAATCATCACCCAACTGCACCTAGCCAAGAAACCTGCAGGGGCCCTGCAAAACTGGACCCTCCCTTTCCTTCTCCACTTTCTTCAGCTGTCAAAACCACAGTTGTGGGTTTCCTTTCCTAGAAAACAAACTGAGGCACACTGGACAGGTTTGGGTTGAGGACACATCAGCAGAAGGGTGCCAGTGAGGGACTGGGAGCCTCTGATATTGGCCCTGGCTAACCCTCTGCGCTGCTTTCTTTGCAGAAATGACCAGACCAGGGGTTGCACAGGTAGCCACTGGGTGGCATGCATCTGTGACACATAGGGCAGCCCCATCACTGGCCCCTTAAAAGGCGAGCTCACACCCTGGCATGGCTTGCAGCCTCTGTACAGAAGCCATGCTATGGTGGCCCTCAGTGACCTTGCTGAGAGACATGGGGATGACAGGTGCATTGCACCATCTCCCCCCGACCCGCCACTTGTTGGGGATTCGCTGAGCTAAATATTTGTCTTGGGACATGGCTGGGCACCCAGCGTTCCCTGCCAAGCACAGGCCTCCTGCTGGCTGTAGAGGCAGAAGCCTGCTGCAGGCCTGTACAGTTCATCTCCTGCCATGGTCCCCTCTCTTCCCCACTGCCAACCCTCTGCAGCTGCAGCAGTGAGATGGCAGGAACAGGAACAGTGGTCCAGGCTAAGAAGGTACTTGCTCTGATTCATAACAAAGCTAGCCCCAGGCCCAGAGGTCTGGAGGACACAGGAGGTCAGTGCCTTCCCTTCTGCTGCCTGCCATGCCCCATAAGCCCTCTCGCCTCAGCACCACCCCATGGCTCTCTGGGGCACTGGCAGAAGCTGTCCTACTGGACTACTCCCTTCCTTGCCTGTGGTCCAACCCATGTGTACAAGATCAGACAGGGAGACTCCATCTAAATCTACAAGGATGGTGCTGCTGTGTGGAAACTTTGGGGAGAGGGCAGAGCAGGGTCAGCGGCTGGCGGCAGGAAGCCCCAGTGGGGGGACGAAGGAGCTGAGCACACAATGACCAGAGGTGATGTCCAGAGTGTTTGCTGGCCCTAGGTAGACGAGCATCTCTGGATGGCTCGTTGGGGCGTGGAGCAGCAGGGCAGCCCCAGCCAGATCAACCGGTTCTTCAAGTGCACAGAAGTCCAGTCCTGGCATCTCCTATGCCTCCAGCAGGCCTAATTTCTATACTGCTTCCTGTGTCTCTCCTGCCCTGTTCCCTAGCACAGTCGGCCATGGCTCTCAGCTGCCCCCATCAGCCCACGATGTCTCCACAAGCCATTTGGGTGACATAGCAGATACTCTGTCCCTCTTGACTGTCCTCTTGGACTTCACAAGAGTCCTCTTCCATCACAGCGAACATGCTGAGTGGCTTCTTCTCCAGGCTTGGCTAACTTGCTTCTTAAATGTGGGTGCTGCCAATGTCAATGAGCTGTTCTTCCTGCTCTGTGTCCTCCCTGTGTGGGGTGCCCAGCAAGAGCTGCTCACCAATGCCCCCAAATGCCATTTAAAGCAGAGTTCACCCCTTTTGGTGGGTCCAGATCCCAATTCCACTGCGGGCCCAGTGGCGTGTCTGTATTGGACCTAATACCTCTGGAACAGCTCTTTGAGTCCCTGAGCTCCACTACACCCTTCCCAGGCACCCTATCGCCTGTCTGCCCATCCTCTGGCCTATCGCTGCAGGAGTTGGGGGCTATCAGGCCACCGACTTTCACTTGCCTGCCTTTTCTGGAGCCCCGAAAACACCCAAAGCTGCTACTATTCTCTGCCTTCATGAGGAGAGCTCCTTTGTAGCCCCAGTGCCTTCTGACTTCTCCAGTTTTGTAGTTCCCCAGCTAGCCTAGTGTGTACTTGGCACACACTAGGTCCTCAAGAAACACTTGTTAACTGAGGATGAAGCAAAGTCAAAGTGACCTCTCTACCTGAAGCAGTCTAGGAGCTGAAAGACAAACTGACTGCACACTGAACACTGGCCCTGCGCCTGCTCTGCCCCCAGCAGCTCTGGCTGGCATGGGAGCAGCTGCCCTGCTCCCTTCGTTGTCATCTGCAGGATGAGGCCTGCATGGTGGCTGTTTATTGGAGATTTTACAGCAACCACTCAGCAGGAATGGGGCTGCAGCCTGGCTCAAAGGCTGGCTTGTGCTTCCATCTCTCCAGGACCAGCTTCAACATCTGTGAAGTGGGTAATGCTGGCAACTCTGTCGCAAGGTCCTTTTGAGACCCTAGGAGGCAAAGGCCATGGCTGAGCTGTGGACACAGAGTGAGGGCCAATCAGAGACAACATGGTGTTCAAAATTAATTCCAAACTGCAAGAAATGTCCCCCTCACTTTCTGTATGGCCACAGACCAAGAAGCACTGATGCCCACGAGTACAACAATTCTCTCAGCCTCACCCTCCCTTTCTTCCTTGAGAATTAGGTTCCTGAGGAAACAAATGATGATCAGTACAACGGATTCCGTTTCTGGAATAGCAATCTCTTCTCCCAGGTAATTTCCTGAGAGACTCATAGAGTCCACATTATTTTTTTTTAGACTAATAAGACTGTGTGTTGGCAGATAAAAGGGAACATTCTATGTTTTAACAAGGACCAAAACAAGAACAAAAATGTAATTCTAAATGCAGAAGAAAAGTAGAACTTTAAGGCGGACAAATGGCCTAAAGAACTGCTTTTCATTTTCCGTCTGAAATGCATCTCACCTCCCCACTGGTCCCCTGCATAGCAGGCCCCTTCCTGCTGACAGAATTAAGAGGCAATCAGGAGATAATCAAAAGTGGCTCCAAGTATGAGCAATAAATAGCTCCCATATGCTCAATAACCCCCCAGACTGCAAACTGGTGCTCAGCAGCATCGAGGGAGATATCTACTCTTTGTTGAGAAAGAAGCAAAGTCAATTATTGCAAATAAACTCTATAAAGATGCATTGAAGTTAATCAAATGAAAAGTTTCAATTTCAGGAGTTAGAAGAGAGTGTGTGAGTTAGGGGCGGTGGGGATGAGAAGTGGGCAGAGCGTGTCCAGGCAGCTGGCTGCCAAGATCAGCTCCCGACTTGCACAGTCTCACGTCAGTCACGCCCCGGGCCTGGCACCTGCGGAACTGTGTGGCAAGGTAGCGCATCGTTACACACTCCCTTGCAGTTCAGAGCTCATCAAAACTGTAAGGTAAAAAGAACTGTAAGCTGTCAATAAGGTCCCAGCAGTTCTGAGTCCTAGACTGCACTGCGTCTCCCACACATCTGACCCCGAGTGGCAGGACTGCTCCTGAAGGGCTGCGATCCCCACGGGTCTCATCCGTGGGTGGGGTGAACACGCCACACGTTTCTGGCACAGAAAAGCAGCTCCAGATAGTTTTGTTTTCTTTTGTGCAAAAGCTGAAATGAGACAAAGTACACAGGAGAGGGCTTTGGTCACCAGGACAGCATGGAGAGGCTCTCTGGGGCTGTGACCCAGAGGGGAGCAGAGAAGGAAGAGAGACTTGCTCAAGGT